CCCGCCGCCGGGAGCGGGGCTGGGGGGGTCCTGTCAGACATCGCTGCACTTGGCCCCGCTCGGGGGACGGTGACTCCGTGCGTGTGCGTCTGCTCCGCGTGCCGCTTCCCCGGGGATTTTGGCGAGCGTGGCCAGGGCGCCATGTCGCAGGTGTTACTCGCTCTGCACGGCCCGCGTAGAAGAATTCGCAAGATTAACCTTTCCAGGGTTTTCCGATTTCCTTTAAAATACCGCCGACAGGCAGGAGCCCACCGACGAGGACCTCGACGGAGCTGCCGAGTGTTAGGAATGGACAGCAGCTCCCCAAACTTTGGGTAATAAGTGATGATAACGCAGTTTAGTGTTGGTGCTGAGGAAATGAGTAACAGAACTGGCAGGCGTAAGGTCCTCTGTCGGTCTGTGTCCCCATCCGGGGTTATCTTTGTTCCTGCCTGCTCTGATGCCCACCCGCCTTTCGGCTGGATCAGAACCCTCATTCTGTGACTTCCGCGGCGACAGGTCCTCTCAGTGACTGAACTCTGCATTCTGGAAATCCACTGAGAGTATACACATTAATTTTTGGGGACATAGTAATCTGTGGGACATATTTGAACACTTTGGGGATGTTTTGTAGTGACAGGACAAGGGGTGACAGGTTTAAATTGAAAGGGGTGAGGTTTAGATTGGCTATCAGGAAGGAATTCTTCCCGCAGAGGGGGGAAGTACTGGGACAGGTTGCCCAGAGAAGCTGTGGATGCCCCATCCCTGGAAGTGTTCAAGGCCAGGCTGGATGAGGCTTGGAGCACCCTGGGCTATGGAAGGTGTCCCTGCCCATGGCAGGGGGTGGGGCACTGGGGGGGCTTTGAGGTCCCTTCCAAAACTGGCCTGGGATTCTATAATTACAAAATCCCTACTGCTGCAAAGTCAGAAAAGAGCTGTTGTCTGAAAAGCGGTGAGAGTCTGAGGTGCTCTCTCAGTAGTACGGAAGGGCTGCTTTCTGTTCCAAGTTGTGACGCACACCGTAAGCCTGGCCACAGATCAGGCTGGTTTCTTATTAAACTCCTTTAATGCAGTAAGTATCTGGCAGAAATGCACAAAGTTCCGTTGTCATTCTACGTGTGTGGTTCTCGTGGTTTGCAAATGTCCCAGTGGATTTCTGCCTGACATCCAGTGAACAGCCACACCGACCTGGAGCCGATACCCCCCAGCCCTCACAACTCTGACGTCATCACCAGGACGCTTCTCGCGCAGGAAAACGCCTGTTTCCGCCTTGGCTGCCCCGGGGTGCTGCTTAGGGAAGGGCGTTGATCCTGGCCTGCACGCGGGTGCTCAGGTTATACAGGGCAGGTTGGTCCCAGCAGCACTAATCCCACAGCTTTTAGCTTGGCGCTCCGGCAGCTCCGTGGGCTCGGGGGAAGCTTTGCTCCCTGAGGATGGTACCGCAGACGGACAGGCAGCATTTGAGGTGCCACGCCAGTCTTTTCCCCTTTGTCCTCCGATACGGGGTCCCTTATTTAGAAACAGCAAGTTGCAAGGCAGCTCTTATCTCCCGGATGACCCTGCCGGGACCCAGCTCTGGCTTTAAAAGACTTCCAGAGACATCTCCGGCTGTACACACGGTACCAGCCTGCATCAGCTGGTTTAAAAAGCTGGTTTATCACACCCCTGTGGCTCGTGGAAGCACACGTTTAACTGGGTTGTGCCAGACAAACCCCGAAGTCGCTGGTGGAGGACTCTGGAGTTTCTGAGGGTTGTACTTGTACCCCCCAAGCCCTGCGGGATGCGAGCGCCGATTTAGGGGAACCAGCCTGTGCTTGCAGCAGAGCAGGTTGCCGTGGGGCTGTGGCGGCGGGCGGCTCGTTAACGACGCAATGGGAGCTCTGTGCTTCGGGGTGGCACCGAGCGCCTGTGGTTTGGTTTTTAAATGGGGCTGAGTCGTCTGCGCTGAGCCCAAGCGTATTTCATGGAGCTCTGAAAATTCCCTGCCCTATTTTCTTCCCGCCGCTGGCTACGAGACGTCATTTCTAAAGCTTGTAAGTCAGACCATCTGTGCACTTTTTAGTTAGGAAACACTGGTAATCAAACAATCCCGTTAACGGAAAACAAATAGCAGACAAAGCCTTTTTCAACCTTCGGAGCTTTTCTGGGCTGTGCTTTCCAAGCGCAGCCTGTTCCCGAGAGGCTGCCGTTGCCGGGACCGCCT